TAGAGAAGAATGGGGGCAGTGTACTAATCACATGCAGCACTTGTCCTTCCCAGGAGCTGCACGGAGCTGTACGTGCCGGCCGATTCCAGTGTGAATGAGCCCTTAAAAATGTTCCTGGATTTTAAAAAACTGGTCACCTTACCCTGGTGGTCAGTGGGGGATCTGGTTGGTAGTGAGGGCTCTCCTGTGGCCGCACCAGCCAGTTTGCCTGCAGTAGATCCCGTCACTGAACCCCCTGTGCTAAATGAATCCCCGGCCGCAGGTGCAGTGGCTCCATCCACCGCCTCTCTGCCACCTGCACCGCTACAGATGCGGCTCTCTAATCGCGCAGCCGCTCGCTTCTCAAGGGTATACCGATGCGATCCGGGCTGGCTGGAGCAGGCAGATGCGGCCCTCTAATCAGGTAAGTTAGAGGGCTGCACGCTGGGACCTCCTGAGTACCCCTCGAGGAGTGAGCGGCCGCACGATTAGAGAGCCGGATCTGTAGCGGTGCATGTGGCAGCAGAGAGGCGGCGGAGGGAGGGAACCATTGCACCTGCGGCCGCGGGCTTCATTTAGTGGGGGGCAGGGGTGTCACTCCCGCGGGCCCTCGGCTGGTGGTATTCAGCATTGCTGTATAATCATTATACAGCAATGGTAAATACCACCCAGCTACAGTCCCCCAAGCCAGCCACAGACTCCCCAACCTTACCTACATCCAGGCTGCAGCACCTCTCCTTGGCGGCCAGTGGAGGGGAGGGGTCACAGGAGAGGGTACTCACTCTGTACAGCACTGCGGTATATGTCAGAGCTATATAAATGTATAATAATAGTGTGTAATAGTGTGTGACTCCCAAAATGGCTCCCTCCTCTCAGGGCCTCTGTCTCAAAATGTTTTTTTTTCTTCCCAGGGCCTTAGCCTCTTTATTCTAACTAAACCCATTCGCTATCATTAGAAACCCCTGATTGGTCCACAAAACCTATTAAGAGCTGTCTCACGATACTGATTGAATGGCAGTTTTAAGTCTCTTTGATCGAATAACTCCTAGGTTATCCATAAGCCGGCTGGTTCCATTTTGTCTGAGAAGAGTATATATATATATGCATGTTATCTTGTGTTAATTTCCTACACAATAGATACTCCCAAAATATCACTTGGTGTAAAACCACTTGTACATTTTAACATATCAAGGTGCCCATTGATCTCAAAGAGAACAAAAGGGTTAATATCTGCAGGAAATATCAGCATGCTAACAAAGTAAGCATGCATTAAAACTACTATCAGTTTTTTTATTTTCTGCCCTCTGTGTTTCATTGAGGAGATTTCCCTTCACTCGCTATCCCATAGTTACAACAGGAAATATCTTCCAAGTAAAAGAAGTCTTCTCTTAGACAGTTGTCACTGAAACACGTGTCTCCATAGGAAGCATTACCCTCTATTTCTGTTCCGGTGGCAACTGAAAATGTTGTATTTCCCACAGGGCAGCCATCAGAAATTTTGGGGCCCCTTAAACAGCTTGAGGTCTAGGCACCCCCCCCCCCCCCTCCGCACCGCCGCCCCCTTGACACTCTAATGTCCTCGCACAGTCACACACTATTATTATACATTTATATAGCTCTGACATATACCGCAGTGCTGTACAGAGAACACTGAGCCAGTCCCCCACAGTCACATCACCTTCTCTGTACAGAGGAGCTTACACTCTAATGTCCCCCCACAGTCACATCAGTCTCTGTACAGAGGAGCTTAAACTCTAATGCAGAATGGCACCGCTTGTAGGCAGACTACAAATCCCAGCAATACATTTCTGCAGCAATGCAGAACAGTATATGAATTGCACTCTGGGCTTAGTGACGGGCTGGACTCCGGTGTACACCAAGATGGCAGCTCCCACATGTTCCGTTTCCGCCATCTTGGTGTATACCAAGATATACTCCAAAATGGTGGCATGCGCAGAACACACTAGCGGACGCTATGGCCGCCGCTCGATCTGCAATTTCTTTGTGCGGTTTCGGATTCGGAGACTTATTTCCTCTGAATCCAAAACAACATTAAAATTAGTTTCCTTTGACGAAACAAATAAAAATGTTTTTCCATTTTCATTTGTTTCGTCTGAACAAAATGTGTTTGCCCTGCACACGTCTATTACAAACCACAGCAAACCATATCATCTGACTAGTATACAGCAGATACGCATAAAGCATAACACAACATCAAATTACACAGGCTGTAAAATCTAAAAAAAAAAACAACAGTCGCCCTAACATCCAATCAGATATTTACATGAACCCAATCTGCCCCTATACATGATACATTTTATACCAGTGCCAATACACTTTAAAAACTAAAAACTTCTCACCAGGGGGAGAGGTGGGGGGCCCCGGACCAGATCTCAGTGGGTCCCCCAGCCTTGAGCCCCCCAGACCTTCCCCCACTACCTCTGGGCTCTCGCCTGCGCCGCTGTCAGACTGGGATAGTGATGGCAAATGTTTTTGAACCCGAGTGTCCAAACTGCGACGCAAAATCATTTTATTTACACTCTGAAGCTCGCGATGATATATAACATGCTTGCGTTGTATGTGCGTGGACATGGGGAGCAGGGGACCTTAACTGCTTGCCGTCCGCCCGTTGTGAAAAAATGGACGGACAGCAAACTCACATTGGCGGGTTGCCGTAATTAGATGGCTTTTGTTTCTGCTCGCGCGTGCCCCCAAGTGTGCGCATTGGCAGAAAAATCCTGTCCGTTCTGAGGAGCCGTTACCGGCTGATTGACATACAAACGATCGGCGGCTCTATAGCCGCCAATCGCTTGTATCTTGTGGCTGCGTGCCCCCTCCTAGAATGCCGCTGCCGCCTCCCCTCCTGCACCTTCACCTTCAATCCCGGGGTCTGCTATCCCATCTGCGGCCCAGGACCAGCTTGGAAGGGTGTCAGGAGCAAGATGGGAGGGAGATCAGCATCTTCCTCCTTGCTTATCTCCCTATGTAGTGTGAATGCGGCAATGATGTGCATTACATCACTTCCGCATTGACCTGTCAGTCCTCTGGCTGCTATAGCCAGAGAGAAGAAGCTGATGAAGCAGATCTCGGCTTCATCAGCTTCTTTGGGGGTCTTAGAGACCCCTAATGTCTCCATAAAGAGGACCTGTCAGTGTGCCTTTGCTATTATATAGCGGGATTGTTATCACCCTATGTGATAGCAATAACAATAAATGTAAAAAAAAAAGTTAAAAAAATAAGTCACATATAAAAAAGCCCCCAAAAATCTTTAAGTCCCCACCCCCACGTTTACGCACATATAAATGTAAATACGCGTCAGATGCGCGAAAACGACAATCGCACTACACATGTTACATATCGCCGCAAACGTCGGAGTGAGAGCAATAATTCATCAATCACTGATAACACTAAACTGATGAGCACTACAAGTTTTTAAAGTGTCGCCTATGGCCAATTTTGGGCCACAGGCGACGCTTTATTTTTTTTAGGTTTCGCGCGCACACGCAATTTTAAGGCTTAACATGTTTGGGGTCTTTTTACCCGACGTGACCCCGCCTTTTATATTTTACCAAAAAAATAGGGTAATAATAAATGTTTTATAATTGAATATAGGAAAAACATTTTTTCTTTTGCTAATTTTTCCTTACCATAGTAAATAATAAATACCACCAAAAGAAAGCTCTATCTGTCCCCAAAAATGGTATAAAATTAATTTAGTACAGCGTTGCATGACGGAATAAATGTAATTCAAAGTACTGCAGCGCTGAATGCTGGAAAATGGCCGGGACAGGAAGAGGGTGTAACACCGCGGACTTCAAGTGGTTAAGGAAATGTTTTTTGCATTTTTTTTTTATGTTACTTTAATTTTTACAACTTTTTTTTTTACACTCAGCTTTATTGCTATCACATAGGGGGCTGACAAGTCCCTTATGTAATAGCAAATATAATGAGACAGGTCCTCTTTAGGGTCACGGGAGGACACAATACTCAGTACATAGCGCGTTATTGCCCGGTATATGCTGAGAGCGCTGCAGCCGGGACAGATCACGACAATACTGTCAAGATTCACCCAGCTGGCTGATTGACAGCAGGTTCTGCCTATCTAGAGGCAGAGCCAGCTATGTCCTCCCCCTCTCCTGTCTGTCCCTCCAGCCGTCCCCCTTTGGGGGACGGTGACTGACAGTCATGGCATCTCCGCAGGGAGATGAACGGGAAGTCAGCGGGCGGCGGTATGTTTGGATGCATTTTAAATAACACATATTTACTGGCCAAATTAGGGACAGCTGAAGAGGAATGAAGGACAGAGTGATTTGGATGCAAAAGAAGGACAGTCCCTCCAAGTGAGAGACAGTTGCGGGATATATCATTAATTGCTGTAACCTTTAATTATATAATTCACAACTCTATCTGGAGTTGGGTTTTATATAGTATTCTATAATACAAATTTGTAAAAAAAAAAAAAAAAAGATCAGTTAACACTATGATAACTTAGGTTGTGTGAGTGCTTCAGTACATAGTCAGATTATTCAGTGCAGAATGAATGGATGAACACAGTACATCTCTGTTTTCTGGTTTTGTTTCAAGGCAGGAACGTTTAGCGCGGAACCTTTAAGCAAGCTACTATGTTGCTGTGGGGGACGTATATCCAGACGGACTGGATTTGTGTTTAGCCAGCGTGTAACATGCAGAAGGGAGGAAAGGAGTGTAGGGTTGTGATATATGGCTCGGGCTATGTGTGTGTTGTATGGACAATCTACGGTACTGGCAATAGGAAGGGTGTTATAGGTGTACTGTGATTTATAACTCGCTTGTTTTATGGTCCTCAGAACATTCTCTGCTACTAGTATACATCAGTGACTCGATTAGTGCTGTGTGTATGACTGGGAGTCTGATTATTCGTAACATGTTCATTTTATGATGTTTTAGAAGAAACTTATTGTTTGTTGGCTGTTATATTTATGTATTACTTTTATTGGTGTTTTTAAAAACAGATGGTAGCATGGAGGGATAGCTTCCACAGGGTGGAAGTTAGTGTTCTTGAATAATGTGTTGACAGATGTAGAACAGATTACAGGATGCTGTAACTGCTGTTTGGAAAAGGGTTTGAGTATGTGAGATTGAAGAATTAGTGGGCTGTGTGCTAGCAGAAATGTATTTGACTCGAAGGAAACCGGCGCTGTATCTTAGAGAAGAGAGCAGGTAAGAAACATTGGCTGTACAATGATCTCTTTATCTACAACAGATTGCTGGACCCAATGCCAACCCATAAATAGGAGATCTGTTCCCAAGAATGAAAGGCAGTGAGAGTTCTGCTTGCTTTTGTTCCTATTTGGCCTAAAATACAATAACAAATACTTCTGATGCTACACTTAAAGTCTGAGTGTCGTAAGTGATACTTAGATTAATCAATGATTGTATGTTACATGTGATATTCTGTAATTATGTTTTAATTACTGCACAACTGAGACTTTCCTTTTTGCATAGTAGCAAAATCACTTCTGTGTCAATTGCTTCCTTATTTACAGCATCTGGCTTTAGGGCCTATTCACACCACATGCAGAGCATATCCAGACCAGAACACATTGTTTCCAGACCCAAAATGCATCCTAATGTATCCCTGTGCTATTTCTGGCCTCTGTTCACACCGGCGCAGCCCGTACCAGACTAGAAAAATACTGCATGTCTCATTTTTATCTGGAATGCACTGGAACTGTGGGCAGGTTCATGCCATTTTCTGGACCAGATCTGGTGTGGAAAAGGGTGTGAACCTGCCCTTAGGATTTGCATGTACCACATGACAGCCTTCTTTGACTGCATCATTTTTACGTATTGACCTATTGCCTGAACCATAAACATAAAGTGTTGTGTGCTTCAGTGGGCAGTGGAGGTTACACTGTAGCTCCAACCATGACTGCTATAGATAGTTGTTTAACATTTAAGTCAGATTTTACGTTGTGTGCTTGCATTAAGATAATATACATATATAAACATTCAGATGTAACATGATGCGATGCATGATCTCTGCTTCCATTTTTCTACAAGATGTTTGTGCTGAGCTGTATTTATTTATTTTTTTAATATCCTTTTTAATTTTTCTTTAGGTCAGGCCTTTTTCTTGGGATTCTGCCAAGGAAATGCACCATCTTCAAATTGTTTCTGACTTGCCTATTACTGGGATTCTTATCTATGCTCTGGTTACAGTTCAGCTGCACAGGAGATGTCAAGAATTATGAAGATAAATCTCCAAAGCAGCCCTGTCCCTCAGTTCCTAGGACTATAAGTGAGGATCCCTCATGGAGTCCTCACCGTCTAGCCTTACTTGTTCCATTTAGGGAACGATTTGAGGAACTCCTAAGCTTTGTACCCCACATGCATCAGTACCTGTCTGAGAAGAAAATCCGCCACCATATATTTATTATAAATCAAGTGGATCGTTTAAGGTTTGTATGCTCAAAAGTCTCTCAAATGCTACCTCTGTTCTTAAAATAAACCTGTATTTTGTTCATAGCAACATGTTCATTTTATAGCATGCACAGTAAGTGTGGTGAACCAAGACCTCTTGATTACCTAATCCACTAACTGAGCCCCCAGAAACTGCTTTTTAAGTTTGAGCTTACTGCGGAAATTGAAACTTTTACAGGGCTTTGGCTATTTTCACTGCCATCATTTGAGAGCATGTATGCTTGGCAATTGTCAATCAAGCACTGTGTGCTGTGTTGAGGGAGGTGTAGGGGAATGGAACTTGTTCCCCTCTATACCTGGAAGCACACTAGGGCATCAAGGGAGTGCAGAAAATATGGTACAGCTTTTCACCCTGACTTCTGTAGGCAAAATACAGGCTCACTTCAATTAAGTAAAATTTGTTAGGCACACTGATACACTTGACAGCCCCCCACCCCCCAAAAAAATTGCTCAGTATCTAGAAATACTTTTACTTTGGAGTGCCCTGTGTTATGATATAGTAAATGCTGCCTTGAGGCACCTGTGATTTAAAAAATGTTTTAACCACATGTATTAATAATTAAGGTACCACATACCTTCAAAAGTGTACAAGAGTGCCTTGTGACCCTCAAGATCATGGGGTCTCTATTCTGCAGGCTTCAACATTGCCTGGCATAATCTGACCCACCCACTCGATTTATTTTCTAGAAGTCTATAACTGTGATGGACCGTCTTACTGGCCAATGGGAAAATGCAAGAGGCAAAAAGGTGGTGGGGGCCAGCCTTTAACACTATCCGAAAACCTGGAATCTTGCAAATTAGAGTGCCACAGGTTTTTGAGTGTATAGGTATGCTCCTATAGGCCTTTTCAGGTACTATGTGCCCGAGCTTTATAATTCTAGTTGGTTTACATTTTTTTTTTTGTGTTCCTTTCACTGTTTGCCAC